GGGGGGGGGGGGGGGGGGGGGGGGGAAGCACTCACAACATGTCCTTTTTTTTTTGCATAATATATTTCCAATATCTAATCAAATTTTAAAAGATTTCTATATATACGTCCAAATCGATCAATAATATCATATCAAGTATATCATGACAAATTTTTAGGGAAAAAAATTGTATCTTCTGTCTTAGTCAATCAAGTACTTTATCTATGATTTTAAGATGATTCAACTTTGTAGCAATTAATGAGTCACAAAAAAGACTCGATATACTGTCCCCATCCATGTTTGTCACAAACAGCTCACCTTGAAAGTTAAAAATTCCAAAATACAACCTTCAAACCCGAAATCAACTAAACCCCTGGAGATGAGTCTCTCTCCTTGAGGCTGCCCCGGGGCGCAAGAGGGTCAAATCAAGCATCTAACGACTACCGAACTACTATAAACAAAGCTAAAATGATTGCTCAAATAACATCCTTTTTCTTCTCTTCCTCAGTATGATTGAAATTTTTCACCAGAGTGGTAAGTACAAATATTATACTGGATTGAAACTGGAAAGGTTGAACAACAATAAATACAGGTGCAAAAACTCAAGGGAGTTACTAGATCGAAACCAATTGAAAAAATACATTGAAGTTCATTCGTCATGCATGGCATAAGAAATTTGGATAAACCTAAACCTTTCTTCTTTATCAATTCGAGAGGGGAGGGTTGCTAGACTTTCAGAATTCTGTAGGCGGTTTCAGCCGCACAAGTCTCTTGATTCTCTCTTTATCAGTGTTCTCCAACAAACCCTTCAAAAAAGAAGTGTAGTAATTTCATAAGAAAATATACTACTTGATCTCTACCAAATGAAATAATGGACAGCAAAGGACAAAAGTGTAGCAGAAAGGATTTATGATTATGAATTACAAAGCAATATTTTGTGCTCATTATAGCACCAAAATGGCAAATTTTCTAATGTGAAAGTGATGTCTCTCAGCTTTTCATCATAAATGAAACTTTTTTCTTTTTTGCACGTTTCAACATGAGAAAAGTATCCACATAAATTGAAAGCTACATAATGCCTGTTAGTCTTGCACAGCTTCAAAACTAAATAGTCAATAAAGCTCAGAAAGAGCTTAAATGACGCAAGATGGATAAAGTTGTTCTCTAATGAGTTATCAACAACGTAGAGTTAAGGAATTGACTAAGTTCATTTGAATGCATTTACACTAATAACAGTTGTGTAAAAGAAAACATTACACTGAAGATCAATGAGATTGAGGATCCTCAAAATTCTTCATATTGCAGGTATATTAGTATATTAGAACCTGATATAATTTAATTATAAGTCAATAAACAAAAGAAATAGAACTCACCTTCCACACAATCTCATCCAGGCACAAGCAAATCTTTCCATATTTGTCAAGAAAAAGACGCTCTGTTGGAGGTTTCCCGCATACATCCTTTAGGGCTGAGGTTATAACAAAGATAGCTTCTGCCACTGTGTTAAAGAGAACCGAGATTAAGCCAAAAGTATGAAAATAAATATAATTATAAACCCTACAAGCGTGTAGGGTACAAGGGTTTAGCTTATATAGCCATCAAGGGCAACAGGTCATATGAATCAAAAAGGGAGCACTGCAACCACATTCTTTATTATGAGATGCACGGGCTGACAATAAATCCTATAAATGAATAGAATTACCCCGGCTCATTTGTTGCAATGACCAGTTTACAAGCTGTTGACATATAATGACCATGTAGCACGAGATTTCACGGATTAACAATGTTATGCCCCGGTTTGGTGGGGATTAAAATCAGATTTTTATTAGATTTTGATAAAAATTGATGAAATGTGTGGTTGAAAAGTTGTGGGTCCAATAAAATATGTGGTTGAAATTAATTGATGAATTTGACTTGAATTAATCAATACCAAATAGGGGCTATATATTTTCAGATCAGCTTATTCTAAGTTGTTTTTGATTTAGTGGAAGATCAGACTTGTCAGTGATATTGGAAGTATCTCAGCTTACTTAAATGAACTTTCATCACACTAATCTTTTTCTACATCTCAAAATAATTTCACAATAAAAAACGTCTAAAAAGAAAGCTTACAGGCAAGTTCATCATACTCATCCTTGCCGACAACAAATATACTGACATCTCCGAGCACTGTATAAACAATATAAACTGACCTGCATAACAGAATAATTAAATGCATGAAAGTTTGATAACAAAGACAGTATAGATATGAGAAGTACATAACAGACATTTTATTCTTTCCTATAAGACTTGTATAAGCTTCATTGATGGAATCAGGAAAAAAAAAATGAAGAATTGTTGTTTCTTGATTCTTGCCTCAAGCAAGATCTACAGCTTCACTTTCTAAATCATTAGGCCATTTTAATAAGAAACGTAATCAGTGTCACCTATAAAAATCGACAAGTTAAATCTATCACAAATTTGTTAACTGCTCATTCAATAAATCCGTATAAAAAATATTGAATGACTTCATACAAAAAGAAATAAATTCTGAAAGCTAGTCTGCAGATTTTAAAATAAATGAGCAATAAAAAATAAACAGACATAATCCAGAAAATGAGGAGCACTGGAAATAAATAGGTGCTACACAGTTGGCATATTCATGATTGCAGAGGTTGGTGTCAAAATGCATGACATTTGTGCATAAAATCCAATGTTTCGAGGTGACACAACTAAAGAGAAATATCTGCAAAAGTCTTTTTATTTATTAACCTCGTTCTTTTTATTATAGAGAGTCAAACCAATTTTTTTAGGAGTGAAAAACCTATCTATATCTAAAATCCAAAGTGACAAGTGGATGTGACTCTCCAAATGTAGAGAGCCAAACTCATTCTCTACAAAACTTTTAGCCAGTTCATTTATAATTTCAAAATTTCCTGTTCACCTCTTTTAAGATAGAGAGGATAATAAAATAAAATAAATGAGGGAAGTAAGGAAAAGGAGGGAAAAGGTTGAGTCATAAATGATCATGGAAAAATTCAAATAAAGATTATATTAAATAAAGAGAATATTGGACATGTATAAAAACTTTCACTCTTTATTTCTAATATTCTTTAAGATGCTCTTTATATTAGAAAAGATGCTCTTTAAAATAAAGAGTATCTTGGAGGTCTTAAACAACAATTGATATCAGAGATATTGCAAAACCAGATTTTTAGGTCACTCAAAGGTGAGTAAATGATATGGTAAGAGTACCACATGAACATATGATAAGCACATATCTTACAATATTTTCTTTTTCCCAATCGACATAAACTAAACAAGCATCCTACTAGCATATCAGCACACATTTACTTCCACCATTTAACTTCTTACTTTCTACTACCAAAAATCTATTTCCAGAATTGTCAAAAGAGTTCAGGCATTATCGTGTAGTCACTTAGTGTTAGCAAGAAAAATTTCAATGCAAACAAAACCCTGAAAATATGGCATTATTATGAATCTATATAACTATATATAAAAGAGTTATGAAGCTAAAACAAATTTAACTCGAGGTACTTCTTCCTTCTCCATGATGACAAACCAACCAAACCCTCAGTTTTAAAAATGCATAATAACAAATTATTGAAAGTTGGTTTTGGCAATCAAGATAAAACGAACTAATCCACTTGGTCCACACATGTAAGTATACAATTTAGTGGGTATACACAAACAGAACAGAATTTCTTGTAGGGATATAGCATTCTATTTCAACTAAATAGAGTCTACTAGACCAGTGTCTCCATTCATTAGATAGAGAAGATCACAAAGATTTCGTGATTTGCGAACTTATTCCAATTCCAAGAGCTCAGATAGAATTGGTATTGATATACTGATTTGATCCCCAGCTTTTAAAGGCACAGCATCCCTATCCAACTCCAAAAACTCTATGGTAGTGAATGGCAAATGTTAAAACCAGATGTAGTGGATATGTTATGAAACAGAGTTTTGAGTGTCAATTTATATCTACGAAAGGACACAAGCACGTAAACGGCCACAAAAAAAAGCATAATATTTGAATATTCAATACCTAAAACAATACAGATAACTGAGTAAAATTGAGGGATAAGACATCATACCTGTGGGATGCAACAAGGAGCTCCTCATTCTTGACACCTTTAAGATTATCAGCTCCGAGCTTCACTAAGAAAGACCGCCAATGCAAACGTTCCTCAGCTGGAACTCCATTGAAACTAAATCACCCGAAACCCAAAAAAATAACTTAATGAATCTTAAGGTTTGATTATAGATAATCCATTTTGACCCAGTTACTAGAAGTCCGTCATATCTAGTCAAATGCTCAAAATAACAGAAAAATAATCCTCCCTTACAGTTAATTCTACAGAAATTCACCTCAGATCTTTTCCTTAGCCCTGTAAAAGTTCACTAACTACATAAAGAGCTTGATTGATTAAATTACAAATGCTTTTCAATTACAATAATTCTGATCAAATCTGTATAAACTCAAATTTTAAGTCAATTAGAAATTTTTGTACAATAAGTAGTGAGTTCTTAGAAATTGATCTTGACCACTTAAATTCTCAAAATTAACGAATTCTCAAATGGCTTAATCTTAAATTCTCAAAATCAAATTCTTACAGTTAATTTAGTTATTAGATGTCTCAAAACATATGCACGAAAATATTAATCTTAAAATTTTAGATCTAATACGGACTAAATTATTTAGTCTCGAGTAATAATATTCAATCTCAATCGTAAATGGACCCAAATCAATTTTTAAGAAGCAGAAACTATATTCTACAGAATGAACTGAAAATTGAACAAATCAAGAATCATAAAGCCCAGATCGCAAATCCAACTGGGTAAGGATTAATAAATGGAAAAGTTTTACCGTTCAACGAGAATATTGCCTTCAAAATTGGCGATCAAGACTGCGAGCAGCATTTTCGTATGACAAGAATGTCCAGCCGTAGGCAAGTTTTGAACACTATCCACGTCTTTCGCGAACGTTACCGTGAAATCGCGTTTAATTTTGTGTGAATGTTGTTCCAATCTTAGGTTGAGTTCAGCAACGGTTAAAAATTTTTAATGGTTAATTAAAGAGGAAATATCCTTTTTCTCAATTCATTCTCAAATCTAGAGCTGTCCAAATCTTTTGAACCGAACCGATCGAACCAAATTCGAATCAAATCAAACTGAACCCGACGATTCTTGTCAAATTAAATACCCGAACAGATATCTGAATTGAGAATCGACGGGTACGATTCGATTCTTGGTTCTAGACCAAGAACCAAATAAAAATCGAATCTT